CGAAGGGTTGGGCGCCTCCTTTCTCCATTGCCTTGTCGCCATGAGAGTGAGGCTCCGTTCCAGCCGTGGCAAGCGTTTCGGGTGGCGGCCTACTGTCGTTCGGAGGTGGAAGACAGGTGTGCGAATTTAGTCGTGATCGTGGGTAGGTGCGACGAACTGAGGAGGGCGGGAAGAGCCGGAGGGCGGATTTAGCCGTGATCGTGGGTAGATGCGACGAACTGAGGAGGGCGGGAAGAGTCGGAGGCGAAGCTACGGTGCTGAGCTGCACCGTGGAAAGCACCCGGACGCTTTTTACGTCCAGATCCATTCGCAGGTCGCGACGGGAGAGTAACGGAAGGAGGCGGGAGTGAAGGACTCTGCATGCCGCTCGATCCTTCACGGATTCCAGCGAGGTAAGTTGCGAACCTGGGGGTTTGCGCGGGGCGACTTGCATAACGACATTGGGTTTGTTAGTAGATGAGTAGGTCAGGAGTCAGTAAGGAAAGGGCGTGCGCAGCAGTGGAAGAGGAGGAAAAGCGGATGAACCTGGCCGATGAATCGCGCCAGGTGCGTGCACGTTGGAAAAGGGGGGAGATGGGCGATGTGGGGAGGAGGTAGCGTGTATGTTTCTTAACGAAGGCGAGCTGGAGCGGGAGTGGGATGCGCGAGCTATGGCGAAGTAAGGAAGAAAAAAGGAGTGAAACTAACCCGGGGTTTTAGTAGTGGGGGACCCCACTTCTAAAGTTAGATTCGAGAGAAAGTCAGTAGAAGGGGAGGTATAGAAGAAGAGGGCTGCGTGGAGGCTACGGTGGAGAGGGGCGGAAGTAACGGATTTTGGTCGTTGTTTGGTCAATTCTAACGTGAGGAGGCCTCATGCAAAGGTTTTCGAGCATGGTGAGTACGTTGGTAAGGTTAGAATTGGGGATTGGCGGTTAGTGTCTGAGTGGCATTAGTAAGGGAGTGGTTGTAGAGTGGCGATGTATCTTCCCGTGTTCTAGCGGAAGATTCATTCGATTTTGCTCGTTCCCGTTGGAGGAGGTGGCTGCAGTCATACGTTCCGTCGCTGCTTCGCTAGCATCGCAGTTCCCGATTGAACCCGACCGTAAACTCGGCTGGCTGCAAGCTGGAAGTACAGAAGGAGGGGTTGGTCCGGACTGTCAATTGGTGGTCTTGCCGGGCTCGGCATCACGGACTGCGCTCAGGGGAGGAACTGTATTCCAGGAGGCGTGTATACCCCGTTTCAGCAGAGCGTCAGTCAAATTCGCTCTCAGTAACAACTGCGATGGTTGCCTCCCGAAGTCCTGGCGTGGGCGGCTTTTGCACCTGACAACTCTGGGGCCCGTGTTTACCTGGCTGGGGCATCCCAGCGATCTGGGAGGCGGACAGTGGACGGGGGGCTAAGCGGAGGAGCGACAGTGATTGGGTCGGGAGGCATACAGGGTGGCCGGTGGACAGCGATAGTATCGTTGAGTGACATTGTGTTGGTGGGCACTTGCTTGCTGAGCATATTCCGTGGATGGCCGATTCTGTCGGGCGTACAGGCTGATTGATTCATTGGAGACAGCAGAGTGCCACGGCGGGCAGGCTGCGGTTCCATAACTATGCATGTGGCCGTTCGCTCGAGCTGTACCTTCCGCTGAGGCAGCTGCCAGGCTACTGCTGTCTTGCCAGGCTCGTTGTACTTCCGAAGAGCGCGGCAGCACAGTCCGCTGTGTGCCCTGCTGATTTGTATCGATTACTGCTCTGCTACAGTAGTTGTCAAGCCTGGTACGGACTGCTACACCGCATTGAGTAAGGCCGTGTAAGACCGTGTGACTGCAGCCCCACCACACGTAGCGAAGGCATGGTACCAGGAGGGGCGGTCGGCCTGTGTGAGGGGATTGGTGTTATGTTTTGGAGGGTCGTCAGGGGAAAGCTGGTTCGGCAGTTGGACAGTAGTTTTGAGCAAGCTGTTACACTTGGTCGTCGTTGTGGGGTCCTCAGGCGGCTTGAGAAATCAAGGCCCTCTCGCGCGAGTCTGAGCGCACCACTTTTGGATCTGAGAGACTAAACCTTTCTACTTCTGCCCTTCTTACTCTGAGTCTAGTCTATTGGTTTTGAGAGGAAGGCGGATGGCGGGATTGCAACCCGAAATCTGCGCCAAGGCCTCTGTGGGAGGTTTGCCCCACCCATTGCGGGAGCTCTGCCGGAGCCTAGGCGAGGCTCTAGAGGCAGGGAATTGAAAGGTAACCATTGCTTCCCCTGTGTACACCCTGATATAACCCCTACTTGTACATCTTGCTATGTTTGACTGAGTATACTGTATGCACCCCTACTTTGACTTTGGTTTGACTGACAGGACACAAGTCAGACTAATGTGTGTGCAATCGCAGTTTCAGTTTGTTGATTGCCTGAACGCAGATTGTGAACTCAAGGGGTTGCATCAGGGGGAAAGGTGGGTGAAAGGTGGTTTTGCTCGAGCCTGAATGGGTCCTATGGGGTCAGACCAGTTCCATAAGATTGGACGGCCTGACCGCTATGTTTATTTTTGAATTGTGTGGAGAGTCAGACCATAAGATTGAACGGTCTGATTGCTCTGAATTGTGAGGGTTGATTGTGGCTGATTTTTCAGGGGCCGAACCTGTACCATAAGATTGGAGGGTTTGGTCGCCATGTTTGATTGGGGTTTGTACTGTTTCCTCTGTTTTTGGTCGAGGAGGTCTGAGCAAGTCCATAAGATTGGACGGCTCAGCCCCCCCCTCTTGTTTCATTCCGAGGGAGTAATTCCCGCTGGGGGCAGGGCATGTCCATAAGATTGGATGGCCTTGGACTCACGCCGCACACGGTGGGATCGGAGATAAACGAACCTGACAAAGGACCAGATGTGTTCCATAAGATTGGACGGTCAGGCCCAATGCCTCGCACATGCTGGAACCCAAAGGGTTAAATTTTGGCTATATTTTATACTATCATATTTATGAACAGGCTAGTTAGGCATTGGTTCCATAAGATTGGATGGTCTGGCTAAAACTTATCATAAAGTGAAGTGTGTATAACTAAAACTATAATTGAAGGTAACCCTCGGCAGGCTGGGCCTTGTTCTAAGATGACCGGCTCAGTCCTATGCCCAGCTTTTGAACACCAAGCTCAGAGAGGTATATATAATTTGGATATCTAACAGTTCAGGGCGGTTGAGCCTTGTTCTAAGATGAACGACTTAGTCATACGCCCCAAAAGGAAGAGAGAAGTAGTTGTGCAACCTGTTCGTGTATACTCAATGGCTTAGTCAGGCAGGTTCCATAAGATTGAACGGCTTGACTTTATGCCCTATGTAAGCTGGGTATAAGGGAATAAAGCATCGAGAGATTACGAACTATTGTTTGCGAAGGTTGACTTGGGATGGCGAGAATACTTACCTTTGTGGTTTGACCTGCATGTGACTGAGGGAGGCTACTACTTGGTGTGAGCTTCAGTTTGACAGGTAGCTGCTGTAGTTGCTCGCCACGTGCTAGAGCGATATGAGTTAGTTCAATTCCTGCATTTTCTGGGCTAAGTTTGTTTTACTTAGATCAATTCTCGCATTTTATGAGATCTTTTATTATTCTTGGGTTTGTATAAATTTTGGTAAGCTACTTTCTCTACGGGAAGCGCAGCCGAAATTTCTACAAATCAAGGGAGTTAGTCAATTCTTGACTTTTCAAAGTTCAACTTGTCTAAAGTTCATATATGACTTAGTAAAAATCTGGAAAGTCTCCTTTTCTAAAGGGAGTGTCGCCCAAATTTTTGCTAATTCAGGGAGTTCGACAAAAATTGGACTTTGGAAAGTCAAAGACTATTTCTGTTTTCATATTCGGGCGGATATAAATTCTGAAAAGACACTTTTCCTACGGAAAGCGCTGCCGAAATTTTCTTGATTTAGAGGAGTTAGATTATATTTTGAGAGGTGGCGATTCTGACAATCCACCCTGAGTAGGGGAGATCCTGCCGTTAGTCTACCTTTGCTTGGGCACTGGCTTAGAGGTAGGCTTATACTTAGTTGGCGGGTAACTTTGAGTAAGAGTGCGCTATGGAGGTTCATCCCCCATATGCTGATGATTTAGCTTGGGCATTGGCCTGTCTTATGGTACAAGCCTTTCTTGGACATTCGATTCAGGACTTGGGCTAGTTCAGCTTGATCCTGCAAGGATCATCATCTGTTATCATTAATAATAGGTCGGTTGCCAATTCGTCGGCTCACGACTCAATTCCTACCCGCTCCCCATACTCAACCTAAAAGGCTTTAGCCCTGGTGATCTTTTGTTTGTTAAGGGTTTCACCCGGATTTTTATTGAATGATCATTTAACAAAGGTACCGAGTATTTAATTGAGGTCGGCTGGCTGGAGGCTGGAGTTTGCATGGGTGAGAATTAGTCCGCGACAGCACCAGTTCGCTGCAGTCCAATCGGACACTGTGGAAGACCCGGCAGCCACCCAAGCGTCACGTGAGGGAGATCAGGTGGCTGTTGTCCAGCCGCGAAGCAACATCAAGCCCCGAGTGAACGGGAAGGCGAAATCAGCATCGCAGGCCGGAAACGGACAACTAGCACCACCATGGGTCAAGTTCAACTTGACCGAGGCCGAGTACAAGTACCGCAACCGTTACGGCTGCTGTTACTGGTGCAACAGCACCAAGCACAAGACCTCCCTTTGCCAAGATCAGGCCAAGGAGGATGTGCGGTCTTGTCTTAACTCGGGAAACTGAGTTGCACAGGAGGTGAGGCGACTCCACCTCTCACTCCGCCAGATTCGGCCGCCTTGTTAGCGGCCTCCTACACATCTGGGGAGGATGCACATGTCGCAAGTCCTCGGTACACTTACGAGGAGTATGTTGTCCACTTGGTCCCACCGCTGGACCAACCGCTCCATGTGCAACAATCCACCGCATGCACGGTTTCATCACCATCGGCAACCGATTCGGCAGCTTCGCTGCAATCTATCGCCAGGGATTCGACATCATGGTCAAGACTTGAAGAGCTCGACCCGTTGACGTTCACGGACTTACAGTGGATGCCCGTTCCCCCGACCGGTCGATTACCGAAACCGCATTGCAACATGCTCATGGCACAATTGCGGGATTACTTGCACACTGCAGTACCAACTCTGTTGATGGACGTCGGAGTAGAGGTTGTCGACCTTCACGCCTACATCGCGAAGATCGACCGCGAGTTCAAGATGCAATGGTACAACAACATCGACGCAACATTGCTATATGTACGCATTCAGATCGGAGAAGCGACCTGCAGCGCTTTGATCGATTGTGAGCATCTCGCAACTACATCAGTCAGGACTTCATGGTGCGCGCCGGCCTTGGCCCATGCGTCCGAAGGAAGCCCCAGCCTACGCAAGTCACGTTGGCGGACGGTCACACGCACAAGTCAATCAACCGGTGCATTGATGACGTCCCAGTGTACTTTGCCCCTCACGCAAGTGAGGCGGTGTCCTTTGACATTCTGGACACCAAATTTAACATGATCTTGGGCATGTCATGGCTGCGAAGCGAGGATCACCCGGTGAACTTCTATCACTGCACCATTCACATTCGTCATCAGAACGGAATACTAGTCCCATGTACGGTGCCTCTTCCTCATCCTTCGATCAGCTGCCACGTGGTATCCGCCGCAAGCATGTGAGCTTCCATCATCAGAGACGACATCGAGGAGATAGGGGTGTGTTTTCTCCACGCCCTCCCGCCCCATGACGCTTCATCGACGGACTCTTCTTCGGATCCACGCATCACCGAGTTTCTCGACGCCTACAGCGACGTGTTCGAAGGCCCGCACGGAGTAGTACCGGATCGGCCCATCCGCCACGAGATCATCCTCGAGGACGGGGCCGTACCTCCACGTGGTTACATCTACCGAATGAGCGAGGAAGAGTTAAGTGTGCTTCGAGCACAACTCGACGACCTTCTGGAGAAAGGCTAGATTCGGCCTAGCTCATCGCCATACGGTGCTCCTGTTCTCTTCGTCTGGAAGAAGAACAAGGATTTGCGGTTGTGCATCGATTATCGCAAGCTCAACCTGCAGACGATCAGAAACGTCGGCCCTCTCCCACGCATCGACGATCTTCTCGAGCGACTGGGCGGCGCCAAGTTCTTCTCCAAGCTCAATCTCAAGCCGGAATATCACCAACTCGAGATTCGGCAGGAGGACCACTACAAGATCGCATTTAAGACGCGATATGGGCATTTCGAATGGCTGGTTATGCCATTTGGCCTTACGAATGCCCCGACCACTTTCCAAGCGGCTATGACAACGGAGTTCCGACACATGCTGGATCGATACGTAGTTATCTACCTCGACGACATCCTGGTCTACAGCCGGAGTTTGGAGGAGCATGTGGAACACCTGCGCACCATTTTGGAGCGGCTACGACAAACCAAGTATAAAGCCAACCGCGACAAGTGTGAATTCGCGCGGCAGGAGCTGGAGTACTTGGGACATTATGTGACGCCGCAAGGCATCCGTCCGCTTTCGGACAAGATCGAGGCCCTGCGAGTATGGCCCGAGCCCACCAACACCACGAACGTTCGTTCATTCATGGGATTGGCGGGCTACTATCAGCGATTCATCACCGGATACTCGAGGATTGTTGCACCTATGACGAGATTACAATCGCCAAAGGTGCCATTCGTATTCGATGACGACGCACGCCGGTCATTCCAAGCACTTAAGACGGCTATGCTCATGGCACCCGTCCTTAGCATCTATGACCCTACCCTGCCTACGAGAGTGACGACTGATGCTTCCAGCTATGGCATCGGGGCAGTCTTGGAACAGCACGACGGCGACGACTGACACCCTGTGGTCCTGTGGAGTATTTCAGCCACAAAGTGCCTCCCATCAACTCGCTTAATGATGCAAGGAAGAAGGAGCTGCTCGCATTCGTCATGGCTCTCAAGCGATGGCGGCACTTCCTCCTTGGGCGTCGTACGTTCACATGGGTTACGGACAACAATCCATTGACCTACTACAAGACGCAGGATACGGTGAGCAGCACGATCGGACGATGGATGTACTTCATCGACCAAATTGAATTTGACTTCACACCGAAACATCTTCCCGGCCTCTCAAATCACGCAGCAGATGCACTCTCGCGAAGACCTGATCTTTGCGCTATGACACATCATGCCTTCGCATTCGAAGAGGAGCTTCAGCGACACTTCATCCGGGACTACGAGTCCGATCCAGATTTCGCCACGCTATATGCGCAGCAATCTTTGGATCACCCACCAGCCAGCCACTATCGCATCGCCGATGGGTACTTGCTCCTGCACTCGCGGGGCAAGGACTTACTATGTGTCCCACGCGACCGCCGTCTTCGGACTCGCCTCCCTGGCGAGTATCATGATTCCCGACTCGCCGGCCATTTCGGAGTCAACCGCACTATTGCACGACTTCGACAACAATTCCGATGGCCCGACCTCGTCACCGATGTCACGAAGTATTGCGACTCTTGCGAAGTTTGCCGAGGAAGCAAACCTCGCAACCGCAACTCCTACGGCGAGCTGCGCCCGATGCCGATCCCGTAGGAACCCGGTCTCTCCATTGCCATGGATGTCACCGGACCATTCCCCCGCGACCGCCTCGGACACGACGGCATCCTCACGGTCGTGGACCGATTGAGTAAGTACACACGTTTTCTCCCTTGCAAGTACTACTCCACGGCTCCCGAGATGGCACGGCTCCTGCACACCGGCTGGATTTGCGGCCATGGTGTACCGGAAGGCATAGTCAGCAACCGCGACACTCGTTTCATGTCGGCATTTTTTACTACACTCATGCAGGAGTTCGACACGAAGATGAAGCCAAGTTCAACTCGGCATCAACAGACAGACGGGCAGACGGAGCGGGCACATCAAACCGCTCAAATGATGCTTCGTACGCTCATCCGTCCGGACCAGAAAGATTGGGTTGACCGCCTCCCCGACATCGAGTTTGCCTACAACACTTCGGTGCACCCGGCAATCGGCATAACTCCATTCGAGTTGCACCACAGTGGACGGAAAGGCCGTATCTTCGCCGACCTTCTCCTCCCACGACCAGACGGCATCGATGCCGCTTGCTCTCCCGCGTCCGTCCGGAAGTACAGGGAATTGCTGGCCCAAGTCCGGGCGAATATGCAAAAGGCTCAAGTTCGCATGCAGCAGCAAGCCAACAGGCATCGCGCGCCATGTCCCATCCGCGCCGGCGACCTGGTTTGGGTTTCCGCGGAAGAGTTTGCACTGGAACAGGATGTATCACGCAAACTATTTCCCAAGTGGTTTGGACCATGGCCTGTAACATCAGCCGCGGGCGATGAGCCCGATGACCCTTCATTTGTGATCAACATTCCCCCGCATCTGACGGTCCATCCAGTCTTTCACGCCTCAAAGCTGGCAACATACACGCCAGCTAAGAGCAACGACTTTCCAGGCCGACGATCGCAGGACCCTCCTTCTATGGATGGTCATCAGGAAGTAGACCGCGTCATCACCGATCCCAAGTACGCCAGTAAGCCCCGACAGTACAAAGTGGATTCAAAGCCTGCGATCGCGACGACACTCGGTGGATTTCATGAGCAGATTTGAAAGCATCCGCACCGCTGATCTACGCGCATTATGAGAAGCAAAGGTTAGCTCAGGAAGCTTCACGACCGGCCCCTCCCACCCGGACTGTGATCCCTCCCTCAGACAGACAGCTTCGCCCTCGCAGGTAAGCTCGGTCTTTCAAGGAGGGGGGGGGGTGGCATACTGCGTAGCCACACGGGCCCTGCAGGGCCCGTCCCGCACTTTCAGCCTAAAAGCCTAGAAAATAGGGCTTACAGGCCCCGGTCGTTTCAGCCTGAAACTGAAAACGAGGGTCTGCAGGCCCTATTCCGTTTTCAACCTATTTTTGGGCCTTTCAGGCCCAGAGGCTTTTCAACCTGAAACGGAGGGTCATTTTCAGGCCCTCATCGTTTCGACCGACCCTAGGACTCAGGCACAAAAACAGGGTTTTCGGAACAGGCTATCTTTAGCCTGTTCCCCACGACAGCTCGAGCAGGAGCTGCAGCTGCAGCCCCTGCCTCCCTTCGGCATTGGCAAGAGCAGCCTCCTGGACTGCCTCGCCTGCAGTCAGCAGGCACCCGGTAGTACATAGGAAGTTCCCATGCACTTCACGGGGAGGTAGTTGGACAGTAGGCACGAGTAGTCTTCAGGATTCAGCGCAGCACTCAGGAGGAGCGCTGCAGGGAGTAGCTTAGCGCTAGCAGTAGTCTTCAACGYTGGGCGCTAGTAGCCATAGCAGTAGTCTTCAGCGCTGGGCGCTAGTAGGTGGTAGATAGCAGAGTTGGGAGACATGGTTGGCGGAGGCCAGCGAGACTTACCTGTGGCACCATAGCTCCAGCTCCATCTTCGAGGTACCTGCATCAAGGCGCCAACTTCACAGGTTAGTACTGGACTAAGAGAGAGAGAGAGAGAGAGAGAGAGAGAGAGAGAGAGAGAGAGTTCTTCTTCCTCTTCTTCTAAGTCCACCATCTCTTCTTCCCCTCTCACCACCTGACTTCTCAGTATCAATGAACTACTACAGAGAGAGAGTTGTGACTTGGGACTTGACGACATTGGATCCACACTTGACATTTGGGATTCATACATTTCGACGAGGGACTATTTGGGCCTGTGCCGAAGACTTGGTGTTGACAACATTCCCATCTTCCCCTCCTCTTCCTCTAACCCCCTTCTTCTTCGTCTGTGTATGGTAGGGGCTGGCGCAGTCTTCCTGTGTGAAGCGCCAGACCCCACTCACACCATGTAATGATGATGATGATGTATGTTCAGGGCTGCATTGCAATATTGATTGTTCGGATCATTGGTATCTAAGTCTTCCGCTGTGCTATCTTGTACTTTGTATTGAGAGGTCGGTTCTTGTTCTGGTCTGCACGTTACAGTATGCAACATTTCCACAGTAAGTGCATAAGGGGGACAACTGGCCTCGTTGGTCCAGATCAGTTCTTGCTGTCAGGCAGTGTCAGCCAATCGGGTGTCGATAGGCATCTATGAATAATCTGCCACTATAGGGCTCTAAGTTTTGTGGGTTGTATTCGTGAGTAGGCTGTCCACCTTATATTTTGCAGATCTTCTTTTTTCAAAGGTGAATCTCTATCCCATCTGGCCTTAATGGGGTCCAATATCTGTACCTTTTTGCATGACTGTCTATAGCCCTCTTTAACTGTGTATTGCCAGATTGGAAGCTTAGGTTTTCCTGCCATAGTCCATTCCCATTCCTGAGGGTCGAAAGGTAGTTGGGCAAGAGGAATAGTTGACTCATAAGCGAAAGACCCCTTATCCCCTTCTTGAAGCACTCGAACTCTGATAAGATCGTTCTGGGGTCTCTGGTGGTCCAGTTCCTCATATCGAGTTAATTTGGACCATCTTTCTCCTGGTAAGTGGGGTCTGTGTGCATGCAGCGAAACATGATGAGTGAGTATTGATTCCACCTTGTAGATTGTCATGGGGAGTGGCCAATCCTCTTTTGGGATTACCCAGTCTCCTTGTTTTATTGTCGGTCCACGCTTGAGTTCCGCTACCCATGCCAACGGGATAGCCTCTTGTAGCTCTCTTAACCCTGCCTCTATATTTCTAACCCGGATGCTCCCCACCAATAGATGGAGCCCCTCCCCAGGTGCTAGCGATGTCTGCCCTCAACAGCATCTCTAGCACTGATGGGACTGCTTTTCAAAAAAAAAAAAAAAGGGCTGCTCAGTCAATCCCCTGAAGAGCAGGGCAATCAATGCTGGCAGTCCTCACAGTCACTATTCTCATTGTTCTTGGACATTCTCAATTTGTGTATATGGGACGCTGGACCCGTTTTCCAGCAGGTGATGCTCCCCACCAAAAAAAAAAAAAAACAAAAAAAAACAGAGTATGCCCTAAAGAAAAAAAGGATCCAGATTCATGCGGGTGCCTATGATGGGGTTTTTGGGGGTGACTAACATGGGGTTGGCGGTGCTGTCACTTCAGGATTGGAGGCAGGTGTTGAGGCCCTGCCGGACGCATAGTATGATTTAAGGGGTGACTACACAGGGGTCACAAAAAAAGTTCATAAATGCATTTGAAACAACCTTTCTGCAGTCTAGTCTGGGCCCTGGGTGAAGGAGGGAGTCTCCACTGGTGCCCCCCGGTCGACCTCCCCCCAACACCCGACCGTGCCACAGGTTGGGAAGGGAAATAAAGTTTCGAGATGGGACGCTGGACCCGGTTTCCAGCACAAGTGGTGTCTTGTTCAAAATAGAGGAGTGGTAAAGATGTATTCAAGGGAAGCTGGACCCGGTTTCCAGCAGGTGATGCTCCCCACCAATAGATGGAGTGGTGTTTAAAAAAAAAAAAAGAAAAAAAAAAAGAGGTCTGAGATTCACTCCAATATTCCAGGTTGTAGTTTGGTTGTTCCACAGATCCCCAACCGTATATATTCCTCTTTTAGCCCATAGTAGCCATCGTGAGCCATTATGGAGGGAGAAGGGGTGTCCTATGCTGTTGAGAATGTGGGGGTTCCCAAATATCGGTTGTCTGCTTATTTCCTTCCATCTGATCTGGGGGGAGTTTTGGGTCGGGCCCCTTTCTCTCCAGAGTCTCAGTAAAGCGGTCCAGAGAGGATCAAATCTCAAATCTCATTTAGCCGCATTTGATGGTGAGTTCTCAATGCGGGCTCGAGGCGAGGCTGGGAGGGACCATTCTTTATTGGTCAGCCACTGCAGCGGGTGTATTAGTTTTGTTGCTGCTGTCTGGGGGGTCAGGGCGGAGATCTGAATCAGGGCATAAGGGGCCCAACGGATGTTGTTGCCTATCAACAATCTAATTAGAAATTTGAATATGAGTGCCTTAATTTCGTTCTCCGGGTCCACAATGCCCAATCCTCCCTGTGACCGTGGTTGTGTGATCACCTCTCATGCCACTCTTTTGATACAGTCCTTTTTCCGTGATCTTCGCGCCACAGCTATGTCGATGCTGCTCTCCGGAGGCGTTTAAGTTGTCGCTTGCTCAGCTGCCAGAAGACAGTCTTGTACCATATTGCAACAAATATCCCGTTGTTTATTGCCAATGCTCGTCCTATTATCGAAGTGTGAGTCGTTTTTCATGCTTCCATTCGGTGGACAGCCATATCTACCAGTCTCTCCCCATGATCTGCGGGGGGGGTCAAGGGCTCTCAAGTTTACTCCTAGGACCCGGATGGCGCTTCCTTTGGTCTCCAGTCCACCTGTGATGTAGGGGGTGGGGGGTTGTCAACATCACTAAGCCACCATTCTTCCGTCTTCGTTCCCCAATTAACTTTCATGTCAGCCGCAATTCGAATATGGATGTGATCGTGCGTGCCAACGCCTGAAGGCTTGTGGTAGTGGCTCTAAATAGGATGGTAAGGTCATTGGCGAATATGGATGTGATCGAAATTAGATGTGGTGGTATTTCCTGTATGTCAATCCTTTGGATTTCTGGGTTGGCCCTGATCATTGTTGTCAGAGCTTCCATAGTGAGAACGAATAACATCGGGGCGATAGGGTCTCCCTGTCTGACCGATCTCTGCAGTGTGATAGGTGGTGCCAAGTGTCCATTTATCATTAGATTGGTGGTAGCATGCCGATGAAATCTGTTTATCCATTTCCGTAAGCAGGGTCCAAAGTTCATTTTTTGAAGGCACATTTCTAGGAAGTCTAAGTCCACATGGTCGTATACTTTTTCAAAGTCAATGAATAAGATTGTTGCGTCAGCTTGGCGTTGCCTGCCATATCTAATGGTTTCATTGACCAGGAAGACGCTGCCTTGTATGTTGCGGTGTGGCATGAAGCCAGACTGGTCGGGGTGAATAAGGTGTGACAAATAGGGGAGAAGTCTGTTGGCCCACACCTTGGATACAATCTTATAGGGGACTAGGAAGAGGGTAATTGGTCTGTAGTTTCGCATCTCCTCCTTGTCTTCTTTATTGTAGATGAGGGTGGTTACCCCTTGACCCACCATATCACTAAAGGACTCTTCGCTGAGTACCGCATTCACATACTGGCAGGAATTCAATCTCAATGTGTCCCAGAAATGGAGCCTGAATTCCTTTGGAAATGAGTCCATCCCAGGTGTTTTTCAATCGTCCATGTCTCGGAGGGCCCGAAGCATGTCTTCTTTCTTTATGGGTGTCTCCATTGCCTCCCTATCCTCCGTGGTCAACATCGACGGGAGGGCATTGAGAAGGGTTTCTCTAACCTGTGACAGAATGTCAGACTGTCTATATCTGGCTTCAGATGTAAACAGTTTTTGGTAGTATGTAGAGGCGTATTCATCTATTTTGTACGCATTATCGGCGAGAGGTTAGGTATCATCGAATGGATGTCTCAGAAAGCAAACAATGCTTTGTCTTCCTCTGGCTTCGACTTTCCTTAAGAAAATTTTTGACAGTATACCGTCGGACTCATTTTTTGACATCCTTGCCGGAATTCTCCTTTTTGTGCCTGATCATCCACGTATTCTTGCAGTTGGGCACGCGCCGTTTGAAGGGCATTGAATGTGTTCGCATCCACCGGGTTGTCCATCAAGTGATTGTCTCGTTCTTCCAGCTCTGTGATTAGGCGATGGAGAGTCTCCCTTCTTTCCCTTGCATATTTGACGGA